CTCCGGCCGTGCGGCCCGGGGCAGACTGCCACAGAAGTCGGCATGTGCGGGCTCTCCCGGCGGGGAGGGTCGGCCTGGGGCTGGGCGCTGCTCCCGCTGTAAATGGGACAGAGCTGCCTATTTAAAACGTTCTTCGGATGATGGAAGACCGGTTTTTAATGGGATTGAAACGTAAATATGAAAGCGTTTTAGGAGTGAAGTGAGCTTTAAAGATGTCAGTGACATTAAAAGGAGGTGTTGGGCTGCTGACCTTCCCTGTAAAGTGGGAGGTGTGTGAAATACTGTAAGAGGGAAGCTCTTCTCCAGTGGCCATCCATCTGCATCTGAAGGCATTGAGCTTCAGTGCGGAATAAACTGGGTCATTCTGCGGTATGCTCTGCTTAGTGAAGAATGCTTATGTAGAGACCCACAAATGCTGTTTTACGCTAGAAAGACCATCACATGATGCCTTGTCTGTCTTGGTGCATGAGTAAACCTTCTGCAGCAAATGACTGAGCTTTGCCTGTTCTCTGGTAGGTGCAGGCCTGCTGTTTTGCTTGTGATGTAACATGGGGAAGGCTTTGGCTGTTTTTTTTCCAAATGCTAGTGTTATGGTAATTACGAGTAAGAGAACTAGACATCAGTCTGATTTTTCTCTTCTGAAAACTTAGCCAGTGTCTCCGCATGCATGAGCATACAGACACTTGTCTCTGTCTGCCACGTAATCTGGCTCCCAGTTGAAGAATCAAAACACTCAGGTATTGAATTGGCTGTTGCTTGAGTTGCGTATAGCTGTTTGTGTGCTTGGAGTCTCATTATATTACAGTAGCCTCTGAGATGGTAGCTGGGTCTGCAAAGCAAACTTGTGCAAGCTGTACTTGATTAGTGTGGTTGATTAAACTGTGTAAATAGCTTTAAGTGAATAGTGGATTAAAGCTAGTGTTTGAGGAGAGGCTGTCTAGCCATGATGGTGTTGGCATCTTTGACTGAATTCACTCTAGCTGTGTTATGGCTTTAATCTTGGCAAAAAAAAAAAAAAGCCTGACTGGCTGTGTTTAGTCTTTCTCAGTTTGTACCCAGAGGTAGGATGCAGATGTCCTGTGCTGAGGGCAATTAGTGGACTGCAACCTTGGAGTGGAAACATTGTACTTGCACTTGACAGGTAAGGACTTTACTGAGAAGAGTATGGCTGCAATGCTGTAGGAGCCAATGCTGGGACTAGTGACCTACCTGCCTCTTGGCTAATGAAGATGATGGAGGAATAGACTAAGATCTAGTTACCTGTTGGAAAAAACAGTCAGCAGATGACTGCCTCTTGCAAAATAGCAATGATTAAGGTCCTAAATACTGAGAGCTTCCTTCCTGAGGAAGGAGTTACTGGATTCCTCTTGCAGAATTGAACTTGGAAGCAAAAGCACATGGTTGTATGGCCTTGTAGCTGCTAGTTTTGTGATATGCAAGCTTGCTTCATGGAGACATCAGTGAGGGATGCAAACTTGAGTCAGCATTTTGATAGGAATTCAAAGTGGTGCTTGGCATGTTTGAACTGAAACAAAGCGTTTTCCAGAAGATGAGGGTTTGATAGCCTGGTACTATAGGATTTTAAGTTAAAGGGGAAGGTATGAGCTTGGTAATTCACAGTGAGTGCTTAAGCTGTATTGATGGTGGTTTGGTAGCTATCAGGTCACTGCTGGTACATGACTAGTCCTTGATGCAGAATCTGTGTCAGATGGTTCTAATAGCAGCAGATCTGAGCCATGAAGTTAGTCTCTTGCTAGGACCTAAGTGTGTCTAGTGGATTTAGTCACTGGAACAACAGGTTATAGATACTGCTGATGCAAAAGTGTTTCTTGGTTATGAACATTACTGAACTGCTTGTTTAGTGAAGTAACTTGGATTTTTAAGGCAATATGGCAGAATGTCAGTATAGGATAAACTAAAATTTGCAGTGTCATGTGGCTTTCCTAATAGGGATGTGACACTACAGTATGTTCTGGTGTTAACTGAACATCAGTTGTTAAACAAATCCACTGTGATTTAGAAGTAAGACGCTAAGTCTGTCAGGGCAAGCGGTGTAAAACTGTCTGAAATTGTCCTGGATCAGTGTTAATTTGTGCAGCGATCATGTCTGATTCATGCTGTATCTAATGATCAGATTCTTGTGGAGCTTGTAGTTGAGACCTGTTTCTAGTAAACATGTTCAGGTTCTATACTGTCCAGGATAGTTTGATGTGAAAACAAGTGACTTCATGCAGTACTGTTTGATGTTTGAACATTAACTGCTGATGGTGGATAGATAGCAGAGCTTGTTCTGGTCAGCTAGTACTGATGGCGGCTAGAAAGACTGAAGCAGGCTGCTGTGACCTTGGCTGTCTTCGAGTCTGCATAATCATTTGCTGATTACAACTTGTTCTGATAGCTGAAGTTCCTTTATTTCCCATGTGTAAAACATGTGGCTGGCTCACTGTCAGGTGCTGTTGAGTGATCAAATTATTGCAGCTTTTCCATGTGACTTTAGCATGCCAAAATGGAAAAGCATGGTATTGGGCGAAGCTGTCTGATTCTGTGCCTGCTGATGCTCTATGTATAAAAGCGTGATGTCTCAGGTGCACCCCAGTGTGGCCTCTGGAATGTGGTAAGGAGTTTTACTTAAACCTGCACTCTGGACAAGCATTCAGTGCCTTCAGTACTGCTTCGCTATCAAGCATTTGGAAGACTGCTAATGAAGACAACGCTAGCCAGCAGTGTTAAGGTTATTCTGGTGTCTTACTTCTATTTTGTTAGTTCTGCGGCAATGAGTACTTTATATTTTAAACTAGTGCTGCAGATATTGTAGCAGTTGCTTGGCTGTTAAGGGACCTCCATGGTGAAATTGCTGGCTCAGAAAATCTAGCTTGATGCAGCTGACGGCCCTGTACAGTCTGATGCTAGAAGGCATTGTGACTATAAACAACTTTCAGTCTTGAAGGCACATTGCACCTG